CTTTGTTTTCCCCCACACCACCAAGTTTAGTTTGTGAGTATCTGTCAATATCCTGCACTGCACACAAAGCAAAGCACTTAAAGCAAGTACTCATTACATTCTAGAAATATTGTTTTTCTTGTTTAAATGTAAATGCACTGCACTGCACACAAATCAAATCTTATCATCATGAAAAGCAACAGCCTCAATTGAAAGACCATATAACGACCTCATACAAATCCCCATTGATGACATCATCATCATCATCCTCATCATCATCATCATCCCCGTCATCGCCATCATCACCATCACCATCCTCATTATTTCATTATTTTTATGATCGTTGTTATTATCACAAGGCAGCCACTGACTGTCATCCGTCTGATATCGCTCTTGTGAGCGCGCAACGCTCGCTTCGTTTCATGAAAGTCGGCGAGTGATCTCGGTCACAACAACGTATTGGTGCTGGAGAAGCCACGCAGCGGGGGGGTGAGGGGGGCAGGCGTGAAAGAGATTCAACAAGGAAGCGAAATAACTGAGAGAAATATGAATAAATAAAAGTCTGAGTCCGGGGTGACGGAGGAGGGATAATCACGTGTCATCGAGATGTACATGTCTGACATTTTTGGTTGAAATTTGTTTTCTTTGACTTGGCTACTTTCTTTAATTGCATGTCATTCAGTTTTGTTTTCCTTTCTTCATTGATCTGTTTTTGAGCCGTCGCATCCCATGATTCCTGATAGACACCTTTTCGAGAAGTCGCTTTTTTTCAATCCACTCCTGAACTTGTAAACAATATGTAAAAAAAAAAAATCTCACATTTTTCAATACAGGCGACATCTTCCTGAGATGACAGACATACAGCCTCACATGACACCGTGCGCCCAATTAGTCTCATCTTCTTGTCTCTCTTCTTCCCCAGGCGAGATCCGCATCGCGTTCGTCCTGTACAAACACATCGGCGCGTACCTGTCGACGGAGAACGCCAGCATGAAGCTGGGCAACGAGGCCATGGCCACCAACCACTCGGTCATTGTCAACTCCCCCGTCATCACCGCCGCCATCAACAAGGACGCCAACAAGGTCTACCTGTCTGACCCCGTCATCTTCACCATGAGGCACCTGCAGGTACCAGTACCAGTCTCTCTGGCACACACACATGCACATGCACACACACACACACACACACACACACACATACTCGTTGAAAACAAAAAGTGTCAGTTGTATGTATAACTATATTCTTTCTGTCTCTGTCTCTCTCTCACACTTTAACTCTCTCTCTCTCTCTCTCTCTCTCTCTTCTCTCTCTCTCTCTCTCTCTCTCTCTCTCTCTCTCTCTCTCTCTCTCTCTCTCTCTCTCTCACACACACTTTAGCTCTCTCTCTCTCCCTCTCTCTTTCTCCCTCTCTCTCTCTCACTCAAGCTCTCTTTATCTCTCTCTCTCCTTCTAGCTTTCTCTTCCTAACACAAGCCTACAACACACAGACAATACACACACACATGCCAACATTCCCTGATATGCACACATACAATTCAAGTCCACTCTTCCTCTTCGGAGGGAAACGCTTCTAAAATCTGAAATTAAAGAGCCAAGCACAAAGCAATAGTTGTAGAGACAAAAACGTAAGACAAAACCAAAATGGCAGTACGCCACCCACATTGCGGCACGGGACGCCGTGTTAGTTTGTAATTATAAGCTTGAACAAGAACCTGGATGGTTTGGAACAAATACAGTCCCAAGTCCCAACACATATCGGTCCAAATAGTGTTTTGCTATTTTGCAACTCATCCCCCGAGGCAGCAGTTCAGTCACAGCTCTGAACCACAAGTCCATTATAATCTCTTGACTGGACCGCTCATGTCCCCGTTTCCCTGCCTGCACCCAGGACATTCCTTTTCAGCCATTTTCCACGGAGCTTTTAAAAGAAACTTGCGAGTGAGTGAATCGGAAAGAGTTATGCGCGTGTATGTGTCTGTGAGTGTGTGTGTATGTGCGTGTGTGTGTGTGTGTGTGTGTGTGTGTGTGTGTGTGTATGTGTGTGTGTGTGTGTGAATGGGACCCAGGAGGAAAGATGCAAAGGAAACAACTCGTGAAGGAGGAAGAAAAAAAAAAACCAAATGGTTCAGGAGAAGAAGAGTGGCGTGATAGAGAGTAAACGAGGCGATAGCTTAAGGCGGTCAAAAGGAAATGCGTGGAAATGTCAGGCTGCAAAGTGCCAGGGTGGTTATGGCTGTGACTCACCTGCTGTAAGTGGAGTATGGAATATGAAATGAGCACCGGTCGGCTTTATCGGTGCTCTAATGTTGGACCAATGTCGTTTTTTTTTTTTAATACCCCGCTTTAGAATGGATAGACTACTCTTAATAAACCGTGGCCTTTTTAGAGAGCGCGAGAGAGAGAGAGACAGAGAGAGAGACAGAGAGAGAGAGAGAGAGAGGCGCGTATCCAGTATCTCCTTAATACCTTCTTGTGCTGTGCTATACAAGAGCAATTTTGGGCGAAAAGTGAAGAGGGGAGTTGTAATTGTAGCTCGTCGTGGGGTGTGCGGTCGATGCAAAAGCCATCAAACATTTATTTATTTTTTTGTTTAAAGGAGGTGAGCTCCGCTTGACCTCGTGCTTGTAAATGCATTTAATACCTCGGTACACAAAGATGTGGCGAGATTTGAATGTCTTCCCTTTGATGCACCAACAAGGGCAGCCTGTCCCAGGGGTTTGTCCTTCGAAACATGACCTGTGAGGTTATTCAGAGATGGCAGCCGTACAAACTATTATACATTCTCAACGTTTGGACCACCCCCTCCTTTCACAAGGTTTTGGATGAGCAGTCTTCTGGGACGCACGTCCCTGCCTGCGCACCCCCCCTCCCGTCCCCGTCGCTATTGTTTCGCTTCCTCGCCCCGGTTCCTTAATGGGCGGCTAATTAAAGTCATTAATGGGGCAGAGGTTGGTCTCGTCGGCATGGGGTTGTAATGTGTTACCCCAGGAGCGGCTGTGTGAAGGGTAAAGCCAATCAGCGGTGAATTATACCTTTACAAAGGATACAAAAATGAAAGAAACTTTATTAATGCTAATTATCTGCTGCCAATTGTGATTTCTCCGCTTGAGGTCTCTTCACGCCCGGGTGAGGAAAAGAGAGAGGGCATCTAGACTGGAGATGTCTGACACAAAGGTGAAAAAGGCACAATGAAATGGATAACGCCTTTTATTTGTTTCCGGAAACCTGCACTGGGCTCACATGAGAGCAGAGGTTGATGCGTTTCAGCAAGAAAACACGGATGGTGCATTTATTTTCTTGAGAGACCCTTCCCAAAGAGATGTATCAAATGTTCGCACTCGTCGCTAGGCTGGCGGGTCGATCGGGGGATGTCCATAGTGGCTACCGCGCAGCAGGGAGGCTGATGTTGTCACGCAGTGAAAGTGAAATGTCAGCAGGGCTATAGATGCCATGCTGCTCCATGCTGTATTGCAATGACAAACACCTTCATTTAACCTTCGGCATGGATAGCAATGGACAGCAATAGAACAAAGTGGGGGGGGGGGCAAACCATAAAGTGGGCATATTTCAGTGTTTTTATCATTAAATGATAAACATAGACTTGACGATGTTAAAGCTTCATGAGCCATAATTAGCTGAACATTATCTTTAACGGCTTCCTTTTAACCAGGTCAAGGACAGGCAGAGATTTCCTAACAACACGTCAATCAGTTTTTGGCGCACAAATCCCTTCGCTAATATTGTGCACTAAACTGTGAGATACTAATTGCTGTTGTTGCTGCTGCTGCTGCTTTCTCGCTCTCTTGTTTTCGCAGCAATCAGAGGAGAACTTCAACCCCAACTGTTCGTTCTGGAGCTACTCCAAGCGGAGCATGACGGGGGTGTGGTCCACGCAGGACTGTCGCTTACTGGCCACCAACCGCACACACACCACCTGCTCCTGCACCCACCTCACCAACTTTGCAGTGCTCATGGCCCACGTGGAGGTGAAGGTAAGTGTCCCCCCCCCCCGCCGTCTTGCTCTACCAGGCGTGAGCACTGCTGGCATTCAGGAGTGGAAGAAGGACTCTTACTTTGATAGTAGTAATACCACACTATACAAGGCACTGTTCTCTGTTGCAAGGTAAAGTCCTGCATTGAAAATGTTATGTATGTAAAAGTGCAAAAGTGTTAGCATCAAAATAGACTTAAAGTACCAAAAGTAAAAGTACTCATTATGCAGAATAGCCAAGTTCTGAATAATGTATATTATATTTTTAGATTATATTTATTGATGCCTTAATGTGTTCATTGTTTTAATGTTGCAGCTGGTAAAGAAGGAGCTCAAATCTAATTTATTGATATATGTTATATATTACTTACTTATATACTGCTGGGTAGCTTGTGAATGTCCTCCTGGGGACCAATAAAGCCTTATTGATATAATAATACAATGTATTGATTGATTATATATTGTATTGGTAATCTCAATCTGCAAATAAACTAGTAATTAAAGCTGTCAGATAATTGAAGTTGAGTAAAAAGTACAATATTTGAGATACTTGAGATATAGTGGAGTAGAAGTATAAGGTAGCAGAAAATAGAAATACTCAAGTAAAGTACCTCAAATGTTGTACTTGAACACTACTTGAGTTAATGTACTTATTTACTTTACACCACTGCTTGCATTGGATTGGGTTGTGTTTGACCTACGACGAGGTACATTGAGTTGAAAAGAAACAAATTCCATTTTATAGGTAATCTTTTTTTTTTTTTTTTGGGTCGTCTTTTTTTCATTTGCACAAACTTTGGACTATATTTGAGGCCGTTTGTGTGTACTTATCATGTGTACTTACCGTGTGTACTTACCATGTTATTTCTGCCACCTCCATTGTCCCTGATTCTGGAAAGTGTTTGAGAAAAAAGGGTGGTTATATTTGAAGCGTGCAACATACTTTGTAAAAGCAAAGTAATAGGCGCCATTTGGTGGACGCTTTTATCCAAAGCGTCTTACACCGTGAGTGCATACATTTTTAGCATGGGTGGTCCCAGTGGGAATCGAACCCCTAACGCTGGCTACATTAATGCCATGCTCCACCAGTTGAGTAGCCAGGACCACAAAGTGGGGCATCTTCGTGGAACTCGTTTGAACCTGTTTAAACCAATTTCACCTAGTGCTGCTGCAGTCATTTTTGCTGGGTGTTTTTTTTGTATTTGGTTTACAATGGGCCAATTGGATTTGAGCAGCATATAAAGGTTAACTTATTTAATAACTATGGATTCTTCTGTCCTTCACCACTACTCATCATTGATCGGTCCCAGTCAATCACAGACTGTCTCTCTTAAATGAACCCAGTTCTGGGTTCATTTAATGTGGTCATTCTTTCGCTTCTTTCTCTTTTTCCACATATGTACTGTGGCGGGTGTGATTGGTGAGCAAAAGTGGTGCCACGAGTGAAACCCAAATGGTTTTACGCTGTAAATTTCTCTGCACCATGGTCTCCATGGTAACCATAGAAACTTGGACGATATCGGCTGGAAAATTGTGTTTTAATTTGGGGCAAGGATGAGTGAGTGAAAGCAAGAAAAGAAGAGGGGAGAAATATGATAGGATGTGTTGGAGGTAAAATAAAGAGAGAGATAACGAGAGAGCGATAATGAGAGAGAGAGAGGGAGAGGGAGAAAGAAAGATAACGGACAAAAAAGGGAGAGAGAGTGAGAGAAAAAGAGTCATATCAAGAGGAGAGAGAGAGAAAGAGGGAGGGAAAAATATGCAAGAGCGAAAATGAGAGATGGACAGAGGATAAACAGCGAGGTTGCATGAAGAGAAAGAACGGAAAAGGGAGAGAGAGATATACCATGAGAGACAGATCGCGAGATAGAGAGAGAGAGAGAGGGGGGGGGGGGGGGGGGGGTGGAGTGGGGATAGATCAATGGTGTTGTAGGCCTAGCAGCATCTCTTGATTGGTGACAGATGGTTAAATTATTTCTATCTCTGGGAAGTTTGAAGAGCCTGGCCGGTGACAGGCAGCTTTGTGTCTGCTTGTCACCAGCGTCCCTCCTCCTTCGGGCGCTGTACCAACACTACAGCCTATGAGGGCCCCGCGCCGTCCATCCTCTGACCATGAACCCCCCCCTCCTCCCGAGACCCTATGGGACATCTCTCTCACTTGTTCTCTTGTTTCCACCAGCTAAGCTAATTTAGGGAGGGGGGGCTAAGGCGCGCCTCTGTCTCTCCATGTCTCAATTTTTCTCTTTCTCTCTTTTATTTCTCTTGCTCTCATGTTCTCTCTGTCCCTCGCTCTCACTGCCGATCTCTCTGTCGATATTTTATGTCTTTCTATCTCTGTCTCTCTCTCTTTAATTGTCGATCGGTCTGTCTCTATCTCTCTCTATCACGCTCTCACCGCTTCTGTCAATCTCTCCCTCTGTCAATCGGTCTGTCCTGTCTTTTACTCAACAAACCCCCTACACACACGTGCGCACGGCAAACACATACACCATCCCCGCTGTCAGTCAGGCAGTCGCATGCAGCATGCTATTGCACACACGCACACACACACAAACACTCTCCGACACAACCCAGACGAGGGGCGGAGTGGTCGGCCAAGTGAAGAGTGTGTGTTTGCCCCTCGGCCGGACGACCTCAGACTGTGGCGACTATTTTTTGGGCCATGGCCAAACGTCTGCCAAGAACGTGGAGGAGGGGAGAGAGAGATAGCGAGAGAGAGAGAGAGAAAAGTCGGCAAGGGGAATTGAAGAAAGGCAGTCTAAAAGAGAGCACACTTTGAGTCAAGTGTAGTGCAGGATTCCGGTCCTCCATTTTCTGGAAGAGCTAGCGAGCTAGAGCTAGTGGCGCCCCGGTACACTGGAGAGACGGCCGGAAGTTACACCCCTTGATTGCCCCGTAATACCCTCACTCTCTCTCCACATCCTGCAAATCAGCAGGTCCTTCAACTCAGATCCTTCAACTCAGAGCTCATAGGACAACAACAAAGCTTGATGTAGGAATGTATGCCCCCCTCCCTCCCCCGTTGCATCATGGGTAAGGAGGGGAAGGTTAGATTCCCTTCTTTTTGGCGTTATTGCTTTTTCTGTCGTAGCGGTAGTAAACGAAGGAAAAGGAGAGGAAGAACGGAGGAACAAGGTGGGAGTGGGGGGTTGGGGGGGGGGATTTCATAACTCAAAATGACCATGCATTTTGGTCACCATGGCAACAACAAAAATCAGGCCAGACTCAACCCGTGCTCCGTCTCTGCATTGTTATTACCCATTACCCTCCACCACCCCAGAGCAATAGATTCATTTCTAACCTTGTTTATTCCTCCCCGCCTTCGCCGAAAAACAGAGAGGCGAGCTGTAATTACACCCTCTCTCCCTTTAGAGGACAGCCGTGCCAGCCTATCTTTCATCTAGCTCTCCGTTCCGGGTCCCCTGTGAACTAGTTGGGATGACGACGACACTGTTTTATTCAAAGATGCTGTTTCGTGCTGTAGTCTTTTTTCTCATTGGAGTTATTTTTGTTGGTTGCGTTGCTTTTTTTTAAATGTATGTAGACTTAGCCTTAACGTCACACCCTGTTTTGCCGACGAGAACCCTACGTTGAATTAATGTCAATTAGAGTCAAAGTCAGGTAAAATGTATGTGTCGCCCTTCATCACAGAGTTTCAAAGAGCTCTGCAGGGGTCCGTTTCACAAAGCAGGTTTAGTGAAAACCCTGAGTTTATTAACCCTGAAATGAGGGAAACTCGGTTTTTCTCAATGGACCTCGAGTTTCTCTCTGTCTCCGCCCTCTTTCAGCCACACACGCCATTTGATTTCCTCATTCATTCAGTCAGCAGGCGAGTTTTGGCGTAGCCGTCTATCAAAAATCATTTAAAAAATCAGAGTCAGTAGGCTATTTCAGAAGTCCATTAGGCACAGTAGGAGGCGACTTTTTCACGAACATGGCATGTCCTTTTGACCAGCGCTCGAAGTGAAAAAAAAAAAAGTGCCGGTACTCCCTTGTTCACACATAAGCGACAGGGGGGGAGGGGGTATTAACCCACCGATATTAACCCACCCCGGACCTACGACCGACGGGGGGGCACTCCGGTAGATCCGCCCCTGGTTAGGGCGAGTACCGGCAGCCTGTGACAAGTGCCAGTACGCAAGAAAAAGTGGCGGTACGCTAAAGGGTAAAATGGAGTACCGGCCCACTTCGAGCACTGCTTTTGACAACGATCCCGTGGATGAAGGTGCAGCATTACTGCGCAGAGAATTAAATATTCGTCGGGAGAGGGTTATCAGACCGTGCATAGATGTAGCCTTTCCAGAGGCAACATCAACAACAATTATCATTTCCAGACAATTATCTTTTTCAGCGGTACCGTTTCACGTCACAGTCCATCATTTACATATACAACCTAATCCGTCCTTACATTTGCAACATTACCAACCGTAGTCATGCTCTCACATCCCAGCAGATATTGTGTGTTGCACTGCGTTTCTTTGCAAATGGAAGTTTTTTGTACAATGTCGGAGATGCAGAGCACTTGAGCAAGGCAACTGTATACAGTCAAATAGCCACTTAATAT